AGACATTCCCTGCTGCCCCTGGAATGCCTGCTGCTCCCGCCTGATGCTTCCAGCCTGCACAGGGAGAGCCTGGTAGGGGGCCCAGCTCTCCGGGAGGGCCGCCTGCACTTCCAGCGGCCCCGGGATGAGTAGGAGAAAGCGAGGCAGAGGTAACAGCTGAGACACAAAAGCCAAGCCCGGCCGCTGTCAGTGCGGGTGCAAACTCGCAGAGGTTTTTTTCCTCCCTTTGATGCTGACTCCACGGGCCGCGCTCACTGACGCACTCTGCTCCATCCCTCTGCACCGCATCCAGATCCCAGCACCCCGTGAGCCGAGGCTCATCCAAGGGTGGGCTGGGGGGAGCGCAGCATGGGGGGATGAGCTTCGGCTGCAGAGAAGCACCTGCTTCCCCCTGTGCTGACACATTCTTGGGTTTCTTTGGGGGCTCAGAGGGAACATCTGCTTTGCTACGGCCAGAGGATTGTGAATCAGGGTCCCCAGGGAGCTGTGGGGTCCCAGGCTCTGCAGGAACAAGGAAAGCCCAAGGCTGATCCAGAGTCAGGGGTTGTGGAAAAGAAAGTGGGGGTTGAACCCCCTTGTCTGCCCATGGGCTGCCCCTGAACCTCTGAAGGATGCGAGCTGCTTTATCTCCAGTCTGTTTCATGGTTAAAGCTGAGTGTCTCTTCCTTTCCTGCAATTCCCCGAGGCTCTGGAGGTGCCACGGGTGCACCCCAGCCTGCCATGTCACGATTCCGATGCATGTGGCTGGACTGGGAGGGTCTCCTTGGTACTTCTGAGCCCCATTTGGCCACCAAATCCCCCCCATCACTTTCTCTGTGCCACGTGGAGGTGCTGGTCCCTCTGCATGGGTTCACTGCAACCTCTGCCCTCCTTCTGTCCCCAGCGGTGCGTGCTGACCGGATGCGTGGCGGGAGGAACAAGTTTGGACCCATGTACAAGCGAGACCGTGCCTTAAAGCAGCAGAAGAAAGCTCTTATCCGTGCCAATGGCTTCAAGCTGGAGACCGTCCCTCAGATCATGTCCCCGGTGCAGAACGATTACAGCCTGACCTCCACCATCCACAGCATCCACGCCATGTCCAAGACCCTGCCACCCAACCCCGCCGCCCTGACGTCCATCGACTACGAGCGCAGCCCCTACGGGACCCCGTCCCTGGGAATGACTGTGCCCAACCACCCGCCGCTCACCGGCTACCACTACCCCTCCTTCACCAACCGCACCATCAAGTCTGAGTACCCGGACCACTACACAAATGCACAAGAGTCCATGCCCACCTATGTCTATCCAGAGACCTACCCCAGCAGCTCCCCCCCCGACATCCCCGAGGTCATCCTGAAGCTGCTGCAGCTAGAGCCCGATGAGGCGCAGGTGAAGGCACGGATCCTGGCCTGTCTGCAGCAGGAGCAAGGCAAAGGGCGGCACGAGAAGCTCAGCACCTTCGGCCTCATGTGCAAGATGGCCGACCAGACCCTCTTCTCCATCGTGGAGTGGGCGCGGAGCTGCATCTTCTTCAAGGAGCTGGAGGTAGGAGCCTGGGCAGGGTGAAGGAGGCTGCACTGGGCAGTGGTGGGAGGTAGGATTGGGAGATGCAATGAGGATGAGATGCTGTAATGGGCAGGATTAGGGTGGAGATGCTGTGAGGATGGGGCAATGCCATGGGCACTGTGGATGTGCTGGTGCGTCCCTGTCCCATCCTACACGTCCAGGCAGGAGGCACCAGAGTCCGGCTGCAACACTGGAGTGATTCCCGCTGTCACCATGGGGCTGATGATTTCAGCTTCATCCCGGTGGGGGCAGGTGTGGAGGCAGTTGCTGGCAGAGTGACGGCAGTGTCAAGCTCAAGATATAATTGGAAAATGTAACGTTGTGGAATTATAGTTGAGACAATTCTCTCCTCTGCCTTTAGGAGGAAAATCAATGCTGTCGAGTGGGTGACTATTAGCGCCGGGCAGGGCCAGGGCAGGGGACACCGTTGGCCTCCTCCAGAGCTGCTCCTGCTGCTGGTAGATGTGAGGGTACCCAGCTGGGGGACACGATGCTGACCCCCATCCTGCCAGGCCCTTGCATCCCAAACACTTACTGGGGCCCAGGGGTGGATTAGCAGCGATGGGTCAGCCTCTGCCACCCCACAAACCTTGCCAAGCTTTCAGACGTTTTCTGTTCATGTCCTGGGCTGACCTAAGATCCCAAACGTAGTGCAACAATGGGAGAGAAAATTTTGCAACGTGGACAAAACTCAGAGAGGCACATCCCAGAGCGGCTGGGACACCCAGCTGTCTTCCCATGCTCTGAGTGTGGGGCTGTGCCGTCCAACCCTGACCAAAATCACCTTTTTCCAGTAATGCCGTGAGGACCATGCCCCAGGGCCAGGCCAGGCTCATCCCTGTGCCCACCCTACAGGTGCCATGGGGCTGAGTGTGGCTCAAAATAGTCCCCGGCTGCCAAAACAGTGCCAGGAAGTGGCATTGTGGGGGTGGGCCAGGCTCGTTTCAATCATATCAGTGTCCAGCCTCGATTTTAGGAACAGGGTGGTTGTTGTTTTTCAGGAGATATTGTAAACACTGTCAACGCAGCTCCCGGCTGCGTTGCCATGTAGCCTTGTAACTCCATTGTCAGCCTGATTGCACCACCAAAATAGGCCATTTCCGTGTGAATCTGTGTCAGTGGGCGCTCCTCCTCCTGAGGGGCTTGGGGGGGGCTCTCCCATGGGCATGCAGAGAGGAGCTGTTGGGAAGCAGGAGTTGGTCTCCAGCTTCCATCTGCTCACACCAGCACATAAAAGCAAACGGCTGCCAGGGCAGTAAATGAAGTCCTGCTACTGCGGAGTTTACTACTTTGCCCTAAAGCCTGCTAGCTCCCAGTAAAATCACGGTCTTGGAGATCGATGGCCGTTGCGTGAAGGTGATGGCCTCCATCCCCGGTCCGGGATGGGCCTTTGGCCGAGGTGGGGATCCTCTCTGGGAGGGCACAGTGCTGGGACATCACTCCGGGGCATCCCGCTAGGGTGATGCCAAGCAGGAAGGGGGTGTAGATGGGTGAGGAGGTGGTGTGGGCAGATGACCCCATGTCCCTATGTCCCTATGACTCCTATGTCCCCTGCCTGAACACTCCTGGCACCATGTCCTCCTGCTGCAGGGCTGTTTTGCTGGGGGGTGTTTTGCCTCACAGGGAACTGAGATAGGAGACAACAAACCCTTGGGGCACCGGGATGAGCTTTTGCCTCTGCCCAGGGGGAGTGGGAGCAGGTCTTATTCCCATTCCCACATCAGCAGCCCATCAGACCAGGGGCTTTGCCATCTCCTCTCCGCTGGCCCCCATCCCGTCCCTGCCACCATGGCCGAGGGAGGAGGGGGGCGCTGGGCTAATGGCCTCTTGACATCGGCTCGCACGCCACGTCCGCCCGCAGGCGCGGGGCAGTCAGATTGAAAACAGATTTAACTTCCCAGATATATCGTTTCATTTAAGGGCCAGTAATTCTGTCAGTCTGCCACTGACAAACGAGGGTCCCCATGCCAATCCGCTGGGGAGACTGATGTCGCGGCGCTCATCTCGTGTCACCAGGCAGAGAATTACGGACTGCGCTGGCCTTCGGAGGCAAGACTAATAATGCTGCACGGCTGAGGGGGATTTGGGGGCCCGCTTGTTTATTGAGGGCCAGGCAGGCAGCCGTGGCGCGAGGCCACGCGGGCGGAGGTGGAAGAGGTCAGCGCTGACGCCCATAAATACGAACTTTAACTGAGTCTAGATGAGATGTGTCAGGACTGAGGGAAGATTTGCGGCATCTCTTCAGGAAGAAAAATATGGGCTGGAGGTGAAATATATTTTGTTGGGTCATGAGTCTCAGGCAACTTTGTCCTTTCAGATGTAATTTTTTTATATATATATGGAGGGAGACAGACAGAGAAATGTGCATACACATGCATACTCGCACGCTCACACTGTGTCTGGTTTTGGTTTGGTTTATATGCACGTATCTAGCACAGCCTGGTATATATAGGTGTTACTGCCATCTGTATGTATAAATATTGGGCGCACAGGGATGCGGTGACCTTTAGATTGGGATGAGCAGCCAGGAATGTTAAACAATTGCCGTGGTTTCAGCCCGAAGGCCGGGCTGCGTCCCTGCTGCTGGTGGAGGGGCACAGTGTGGCTGCGGGGATGTGGTTGATGCTGTTACCTTCCTCATCCCCTTCTCACTGTGGGGCCGAGGCAAACCACTCCCCGTCCGTAGGTGACCACCAGTGCCAGGGGATGCTGAAGACAGTGCCGTTCCCATGGCCAAGGGATCCCTGCGGTGACTGGGGCTCTCAGCTATGCTGCTCGCCCTCACTTCTTGTTAGAGAGCTGGGAGCCGCGGCGGAGCCCGTTTGCAGTCAGTCGCTTCCCTGCCTGCAGCATGTGTGGGTCATCTTGACCCTATCTCCTGGCCAACAGCCAGTGTGTTTTTGGCAGATTTAAAATCTCCTTCTGGTGGTGGATGCTGCAGTGATGCTGAACGTCCTGCGCACTGGGGGAAAAGTGATGGCTTTCCCTGACTGCATCTCGGCGGGCACAGCCACAATGCCCACAGCCACGATGCTGGTGCTGCAAGTGGGGAGACGAGATCTTGACCCTGCTGCACTGGTCTTGGTGGGGTTTTTTTGCCTTAAGATGTCCATCGCGGTGGTATTTGGACAGGGCGATGGGGACCTGTGTTGACCATTAACACCTTAGGCCTCTGTTGGTTTTTGATTGCGGGCAGCTGGTGGATGGGAATCCACTTTCGCACTTTTCGGTAGCCGAAGTGACGGGTCCTGCTTGCACCCAGTAATTGCCCGGGCGGTGGCTTGGGTGCTGGTGTGTGCCGTAGTCCTGCATGGGAGCTGCTGGACAGATCCTGCCCCCATGATGCAGGGAGGCTCACAGAGCATCCTTGAGACCAAGAAAGCTCAGAGGCATCCAAATGCTTCTCATGGCCCTAGCGGGGGAGAGGCTGGAGGCCTATGTCCTGGGACCTGCTTGGCAGCACCATCCATGCCCACACACACACTGCCTTCCCTTCAGCCCTTGCTCCAAGCCCATTTCCAGCAGGGAAATGGATTTTTCTGTCATGGGAGGCCTTTGACTGTAAGGTGCCTTTGGTGGCAGGGGAGCACTCACCTTGCGTGGGGAGCGTTTTGCTGCTGCATTTTGTGAATGGGTTAAATGCTTGCTTTAAAAAAAAAAAAGTCACCTCTTAGAGACAGCTTGCATCAGGTCCTTGACAAAGCACTCAATTGAAAAGCCTTGACATTAAAAGAGGAAGATCCTTTGCTTAACTTTTAAAGGCGAGAGCTTGTGTGTGCCGCTTGGGGGGATGGATTGGTGCTGAGGGCCCATCCATTAGCAGCCCCCTGGGACCCCAGGCTGGGCACTGAGAGCTGATTTCCAGCCTGGAGCCCACTTCCAGCAGAGCCAGTGCAGGACCATGTGGGGATCCCCAGGGCACCGGGAAACCCAGAGGTATGGGCAGGGTCCAGGTCCCTGGAGCCACCCTGAGCCCTGCCTGGTCCCCAGAGCCTCCAGTCCCCCCAAGTCGTGATGCCAACCCTGTCCCCCCTCAAGCCATGGCCATGGGGCTCCAGCACACAGCCACGGTCCCAGGAGAGGCCACGGCATCACCGGCAAAACGTGTCAGTGATGGGATACAGAGAGGTGCTCTGCAAGTCTGGGAGAAGCACATGAGTCATTTTTAAAGGAAGAAGATTTCAAAGATTGTTGAAAGGCTTCTTTTCAGAAACAGTGAATTTTTTTTAAAAAACCATTTGCAGAGCAAAACCTTTAGTCTGTCTCTTCCGGAGCTTGTCCCGCTGAGGAATGAGGCACAGGAAGGAGCTTCCAAAACAACACTGCGGCTCAGCTGGCGCGGAGGAGCTCGACAGCGTGTGACTGTGCTGGCAGCATGGGACTGTGCCGGGAGCGTGCAGCTGTGCTGGCAGCATGCAGCCACACGGAGCCCAGCACCCTGCCAGGGCTGCGGTCACAGCCGGGCGCTCACCATGGGGCAGAGGTCATCATGGATGTACAAAAATCTCCATTTTGTTTTGATGCAGAACGAGCTTATCCCCAGTTCTTTGTTCAGCAGCCGAACAGACACCTCATGGTGTGTGTGGCCAGGCCGTGTGCTGTGGCCCCTTTGCTGGCTCAGGCGATGTGGAGCCCAGCTTCACAGCCCCATCACACCCATCGAACTCAACACACCTCGCTGCGGGCAGGTTTTGTGCTGTCAGGTAGGAGTGGGTCATAGAACGGTTTTAGTTGGAAAAGACCTTTAAGACCTTTAAGAGCATCAAGTCCATCGCTCCCCCTCCTTGATGCTGCCGCGGTTCGGCTCTCAGCACCCACCACACTTGAGACACAAATCCTGGCGGCTCATGGGGATAGCTGGGCTCCGAGACCATAAAGCTCTTTCTCATCTGGCTTGTATTGCTTTTGCAATCTCCCGGCACCGGTTTATTGCAGCCTCTTCAGCAGAACGAGGGCATTATCCAGCCCTGTGATACTGCATCTGTCTTCCTTCTATTAAAGGCGGCGAACACAATGGCACTGCAGAGCTCTGCTGCTGGCGCCGGGTTTGGTCCATCGCTGACACCAGCCCAGTGGAGAGGGAGGTCTGGGCAGGGTGGGGGTTCAGCTTTTGGCAGAAAGGATCTGGGATCCTGCAGGGAGCAGCACCAAGGGGATGCAGGTGGTGATGGTGGTGGCTGTTGGTGGGGCGGTAGGGAAGGTGGCGGCGCATTTGAAGGTGTTTCTTTGGAATCGCAGCTGTGGATGTGTATATCCAGGCCCACACGTACATACCAGGACATGTGCAAACATTTCATTAATCATATGCAGCATCTCTTTGCTAAGGAGCTTGTTCACAGTCAGGCAGCAATTTCCACAGAAAAATGTGTGCGTGAGACTTTGGGAAATGCTCTGTGGGCAGCGGGGTGAGGAGGGCTTCAGGGTCTTAAAAAAACCAGGGCTGTGAGGGTCAGGGACGAAGTCCGGTGCTCCTGGGAGGAGCAAGTGATGGTCCCTGCACTCCCCACAAGCTCCAATGATGGGCCTGGGGGAAGGCAGAGATTTGCCACACCCCCAGCACACCCTGGTGATGTCGTATCTGTGCCGAGGCATTGCCCGGCATGGTGGCAGAAGGCCCCAAAGGCCCCATTGGCTCCATCTTGGCAATGTTGGCTCTGTTTCAGGTGGGCGACCAGATGAAGCTGCTGCAGAACTGCTGGAGTGAGCTGCTGGTGTTCGACCACGTCTACCGGCAGCTGCAGCATGGCAAGGAGCACAGCGTGCTGCTGGTCACTGGCCAGGAGGTGAGTGTTGGCCCACTGAGACTGTGGCACCCACCATGGGTGGGCTGAGGGGGGCGGAGGGGAGGTGCAGGGGGGATTTTTGTCTTAATTCTGGCTGAGTGCAGGGTGGATGGGTTGGTTTTGCTGTGCTGTGGGATTGCTTGGGCAGAAGATCCCATCCCATCCCATTCCATCCCATCCCA